CGTCCACCTTAGTATTATATTTCTCGAAATAAATTTTCCTGGTCCAACCGAAGTGCGTGTTTGTACCAGATGTAGAACCGACTAGTCTTCTCGCGATGCCCGTGGTCTCCGTCTTTCTGTAGAGGAAAAGACTCGATTTCGGGCTCTCCATGATGGCGGACTCAGGCATCGGCAAACCACCAGACAAATCGACAGGATTCACTGCTTGCTTTGCTTTCATCTCAGAGATTCTGAAGGCTACCTCGACGGCGAAACTCCTAGACGCCAACGCAAGCTATCCGTCAGAGATTAACGAGAAATTTGGAGGAAAGTTTCCAGCAACACATGCAGCATCAACCAAATCCGTGCAGATTTGTAGGTGTTTGTCTCGAAATCCACCGTAGTGAGGGCTATCAAATGGAGCGGTGACATTGTGAGAGAATTTATGAGCAAGACCCACATCTAACCGGAGCACTCGAGTTGGCTCGTCTTGGTTTTACTCGAAAGGACGCGGCAACGGATTGGAACCAGGTGCAGCTGTAAAACTGGGCGCAGTTTCTGCACTGTAGAGTCTTTCAAATTCTTTGAATAGTCTTCTCAGACGAAAAGAATCATAACCCGGGCGCACACGGTAATGTCAGATGTAACTGGGGTGATCTGAAGAAAGACCCAGTGCAGATCAGCAAGCGCAGGTTTGGTATCGGTTCGCTGATAGTTTGAGGGGTCTCCTGTGGGACAGGAAGCTGGAGCACGCATTTGTTTTTTACCGAATGGACTGACAAGAGCTTTGGGATCAAACTTATCGCTGTTCCTGAACTGCAGGCGGCGATAAAAGCTAGTTTTCTAGCAGGACAGTGCAAGTGTCCATGCTTACAGGTCAACGTCTGCGTGGTTCTAACGACAGAAAGTGGTCGTTATGGAGCGGCCTGCACGCAGTCCTGATCTGAACTCCATAGAAAACTTTGGGGTGTAATTGTGCAACAGGTTCACGACAACAAAAGGCGGTTTTCCAACTTCTACACAATGAAAAGGCGATCATGGACGGGTGCTGCAGCATCGGCCCTTCAATCCTCGGCAGTTCAACAGTGAGTATGTCACATTGACTCATAGAGCTGCCATTCGAACAGAGAGCACCAATTGACAACTTATTTTCATTGAGCACTTTCTGACTTTGCATAAATAAACAGAAATTCAAAGTGGACGTATACTATGAAACGGTCAAAAAACGAAAAAATGCTTCTAAAAAATTTCGCCATAGACTTGCCTGTCTGAAAACATGTGTTTCGTAGTTTTCCTGGACAACGAATCCGATAATGTATGCTGCTAAATTGGGCCAGTCCTTCAAGAAACGTTTTCGGTAAAATCAGGGGTGGACGTATACCAATGAAACGCACTGATATGATATTGTGAGGAACCTGATTACTATCTGACCGAGATAAGCGCCGTATCATGAGAAAATAATACAACTTTATCCAGCTGGGTACGGAAATCAAAACTTCTTCAAAAGTTAATGTCTCAATGGACGCAGTTTCACGTGTTTTCCAAAGCGCTCATGATAGTCCATGTCTGGAAAATAAGAAATATTATTTTTGTGAAAAGAAATCAGAGAGAAAAACGAGCCATTTTCCTTGGGAAAGCTCCAAGTTCAGTGAAGTGATGACACTTTTTAAGTGTGATATTTTGAAGTCTTTGACCATACCTCTGATAATTTCTTCTCACACGTATTTACTACAAATTAAAACCGATGTGAGAAAGAAAAACGTTAAGAGGAAGAAAGACACAAACCAAAAATCACAAATGGATGAGTGTCACTACTTCACTCGACTTGGCGAAATTTTCCAAGGAAAATGGCTTGTTTTTCTGTATGAATTCCTTTCATAAGAATCACATTTCGTACTTTCCGGGCACTATCATGAGGGCTTTGGGAAACACGTAGAACTGTTCACTGAGACATTAACTTTTGGAGAAGTTTTGATTTCCGTACTCAGCTTGATAAAGTTGTATTATTTTCTTATGATACGGCGCTTATCTCGGTCAGATAGTAATCAGTTGTTCCTTACAATATCACATACTGTAGGATTCTCGGCGAAATTGTCCGGGTATGAGGTGACCCTGACCATTTCAGCGTGAACTGACACTTCGGCATTGATTGTGCCTCTTTTGCTAGGATTTTCCTTTAACAGGGATTCTGGCAGCGGTTCCGCTTTTGCAATAACCTATGTGACCCTATTGGGATAATAATCTCAAAATTTGATTAGGAAAAAATAAAGTGCAGCGGAGAAACATGTGGTGGAACTATAATTTTGCGCCATTGGCAGAGCGAGTATTTTCAGAAAAATGAAAATAAAAAATTGTTGCTTCCTCGAACTGGAATTCTGTACTGATATTCAGAACAGCGCGCTTCTTGTTTTTTAAAAAAAAAACCCCCCCCCAAACATTTTTTTCCTCACTGGAACCTCTTCGAAAACATCTTCTTATACAAGTTTTTGGGAAATTTGCAGGTGGAACCATAATTATGCGTCGGAGTGTACAATGTGCGTTACAAGAGCGCCAGGGCCTTGCCTTGCCCGCTGCCAGCGCTTTCGCTCTATCAGTCGCGGAATACATAGCGTATGTCCCTCTCACGTACGACATACTCTCTTGTGTTTGACCTCTCTGTTTCCCCGTGATACCCGGCCTAGCCTCCCTTTTAAAATTCAGTATTTTCCTATGATGTGTTCTTCTCATTTGTTCCAGCTTTCCATACACTTCATTCCTTTAATTTTCGGACAGACATAATACACCAACTCGATCCGACTCACGCCTGTCGCCGCATAGTGAAAAGGCTGCTGATGCTATACGAAGTTATTACGCTTAACAGTTACGTTGACGCGCCACCAAACATTTCCTTTCCAAGGGCAATTTGTAATCGAATTGCAGTGAAAGCTCTGTTCACTGCAGTTCGACTACACGTTCACGAGTTCAAGTTCACAGGAAAGCCATGGTTCGTTCAGCAATCACTCAGAAGCTCCAGTGATCTAAATCGAAAATTAGTTTGAAGCTGATACGGATTTGAATTTGGAAAGTCTTTCAAGTTGGGCTTGATTCTCTACGGAGAATACGATTTGGGTTTGACAGCGTTTATAGTCGAACAAATTCTTAAGCCTGCTTGTAGGTTGATGGTTTCACAGCAGTGGCGGAAAGACACCCTGTCAGGCTTAACAGGGCTCAAGAATGATCTACCTGCAGTCCCGATTTACATCCACTGGATTTTTACGTATGGTTCTTCTTGGAGAGTGAGGCCCGCTTTAAACAACACCAAATAGGCACTTAAAGAAATACTTCCGTGCTACCTTTGCTCCACGATGGACAACTTCACTCTTAGGAAGGTCTGTATTTGGGCACAAGGGGATATGTCGTGCTTCGAGAAATGCTATGCCTATGCTTCGTAATGGCATTTCATCAAGAAGGGAAAAAGGGAATTTAACCCAAATCTATTGTCGTTTTCACAGCGGTATATGTTGGAGCAAGCAGTTTGACGCAAGCTGTAATTGATGCTCGCAGATTATAGTTCAGCGTAGAATGTAGCGTATACAATTCATATACGTTTAGCATATACAAATTGCATGACAGCCTGCAGAAATTTCAAAAACTGGCAACATCGCAAAGAAAAGTTGCTAAGTTGGTGAAGACGTATCACGTAGAATCACGCAGCTGGTGAGTCCACCCACCCCCCCACCGACAAGTTCGAATAAAATTTTTTACTCACAATGATATAAATAATTCGAAGAACTCGAAGAGCAATTGACCGACGTACGTAAACGGCAGAAAATAAAAGAAAACCATCATAATAAGCATGCCAGGCACCAGTATCCATACGCTGTAGATCAGAGATGCGAACATTATGGTCTGGAATGTGAGCAGTAAAGGAGATTAGAAGCTGCTATCGGATGCTGATAGAAAGAGAGGTAATAAGTGATCAAAACTGAAGTTGTCAAACATAGTCACTTCCCCACATTGAAAATGCTTATATTTGATATTAAAAAGCGAAAAGAGATTGCAAGCCTATACATGTGCATGTGTTTTACAACTTGACTTTTTTGAACAAATATCATACCTCGGGTGTCTCGTGCAAATATCACTGCAGATTGCTGAGCAGCATTGCTGCTGAATTGCGTTTTCTGGAGGCTAGTTCGCAAGATCCGAAAAGCCGTTTACTTTTTGGGAAATAACTGCAGAAGAGGTAGTGGCATTCTATCAAGGGTGCGATTTCCACGGTTTTCATTAACTGCGCCGAAAATCTATAGAAATAATATGACGCAATAGACCGGTGCTGGTAATACCTTGCTTGCCCCTGTATAAAAATAACATGAGCATAAACGACTTGTGTAATTTGATAATGTTGTCATAGAACCTGGTAGTAAGTCATCACCTTGTACCTGCTGTGGCAATCTCTCCGAAGTGATTGAGACTGTTCCACTGGTACCTATCTATTCGCGTTTCGGGCTGTTTCTTTAATATCTCACTGACTTCGAAATGCAGCACCTCAGAAGCACGCTCCACCCAGCCACAGAAAATGACCTTCTTCCTGCGACACTCTCATTCTATTATTCACCAATCACCAGACAGTCCCGGGGTTTTGGGATTTATTATGAGAATCTGAGGAGAAGCGTAACGTCACTTTAACCATCGTGGTGGAATTTTGCTCATAAAAGCTGTTTTGGCAATGCCGTAAGCATTGCTTTATTGTAACAATTGTGTCTACGTTGCACACTTTCTATTATCGGCTTCGGATTCTTCAGTTAGCACCGCTCACTAGAGGATAGCTGTTCTCACTGCAAGTGAGTCTTCTTAGTTATAATCCCAGTCGCTGCACCTTTTTTCCGTTTTTTTCTGCTCCGGAATCAAAATCGGTATTTAGCAGTCGGCTCCACGCCTGCTCCTTTCCATGCCCCTTCCCTGCAACATGATAGACCTCGCTCAGCGGACATGTGTTTTATGCTTATTGACCCAATCGCCACTCATCTCAAGCTCGATCCGGTATCTCCAAGTGGTTTTTCAGGGTACCCAGCTTTTGGGTGGCGGAACTTAGAATATAACTGTATACGGTAAGCCAATTAAGGGGTTACTGTAATATGCCTCGCCCTCCTTAGACCTGCTTGTGGGGTATCACCTCACCTGTATCACCTGTCGTCCCGTTGATCGTCGATTTGCTCGAGCGGGCGCCAGCAACGTCTCCATTCGTCCCTGTCGCGTGCAGAGTTGTCCAGTGGATCCTCCTCGCTCGAGGGACACGAAGTCCTTCATTCCTTTCGTTCAGAGCTTTCGTGAAGAAGTCTGACCATCGGGCCGGCGGTCGTCCAGGTGTTCGTTTGACGTCCCGAGGGATCCAGTCGGTAACCGCTCTGGTCCAACGGTCATCGCAAAATCGCATGACGTGTCCGGCCCACCTTATCTTCGATTCCTTGGCGAAAACGGCAGCGTCCCTGATCTTCGATCGTTGGCGTAGTTCCGAACTCCGGATTCCCCTCTGCACTTGCGTGTATAGGGTTACTCTTTTCGTCAAATAGTATAATGATTATCGGCGAACTCTATTTATATGTACCAAAAGAGGAAAAGCAGGAAAAAATAGTTTAGATCCCGAAAACCAATTTATTTTACTGGTACGTATTTTGAGGTTTTCTCCAGTACTCTTGCTTTCGTTTATGGGTGTTCCGCGTTTTGGTAGTATTCTTCCAATCAACTGCCACCTCAAGCACCGTTTTCTAGGAGTTCTAAGGACCAGTTGGTAAATTCCTACTCCGCCTGAATTTCCCCTTCAGAGCTGCCGTCTAGAGGGAGTGGTGGGGAAGGGATCAGTATGTGTGAGAACTGTTCACATCTCGTAAACCAATCTCATTGTTCACATACTATGTCCGGTATTTTAAGATCTCCTTACAGCATTGTTCCGCTTCTTCGTGAGAGAGAACGGTGAGCGGGAGGTGTCGATATGTGTAGAAAACCAGCAGATTTTCTGGCGCATTTCCATCAGAGGCGTCCCTCTCTTTCGAAAACAAGGCGTCCTTATTTTTCTCGACTCCCTTCAAACTAAGTTAACTGATGTCAATTCCAAATAATAACACGACCCCACTCCCAAAAGTCACAGATACGATTCCGTACGATCTACTGTGGTTCCATTCACTATAGGATCGATGGGTAGCGACAACATTTACTGAGTGGAGCTTTTGTTTGTTATTGTAAAATAAATTTGAGAATAACCGGAAGACCAGAACTTCTTGGACACTCTGATATTTTGGCGGCTTAAAGTGCTTCGTGAACTCATTGTATGGAAGAGCGGGAAAGGTAAGCTCACTTCAATAAGAAATTTAAATATAGATGACTTGAATTTTCCAAATTCCGATTCTAGGGAAATACTGTTTCAAAAGAGCAAACTATCGAGCATACATGATCATGTATCCTGACGTTGATGATTAATATGTTGTTTGACGAAAGTTAGGAAGAGGTCAGCGATCAGCGCAGCAATTAATTGAGGCCACCCCACAGGCAGGTCTGAGGAGGGCGAGGCACATTACAGTAACCCCTTAATTGGCTTACCGTATACAGTTATATTCTAAGTTCAAACACCCCGAGTTTTCTGGTAGAAACCCGCAAACACTATTAGAGAGAGCGACATAACACTTTTTATATAGCAGGGGGGTTCGGAAAAAATATTGAGCATTCATTTCACCTAGAAAAATCATCATGCTGACTGATAGACATGACGAAATTTTCGAGTATCATATTGAAGTCTTCGCTACTATAAATGCGATGAGTGTTTATAGCAAACCTTGAGAACCCTCAGGTTTTCGATCAACTGGAATCTCGTGCTAAGATATTGTCGAGTTTGAGAGCCTATGATGAAATTCTCAAGTCGTCGTTGTTCGCGCTGATACAGTCTCACGTAGACTACCGATGAAGCGATACACAGTCCTACAATAAATATGACTACCTTGTCCACACCTAGGACACCTGAAGTAAATTAGAATGTTATATGAATGTAGCAAGAACCCGAACACGAACAACTCAAAACAATGAAGAGTCCCCGGTATTCATAACCCAATTAGCTCTTGTGCTCATAATTTTGAAATGTATATTCTCTTTTAACTTTAACTATTCAAGATAATTTTTTTCTTGTTGGGATCGACGATTCAGATACCTTTCACTTAGTACTACGCTTTCTGAACACTCCCTTATAGGGCTTGGATTCAAATTTGGTTTTCCTCCAGAATTGGTTAAGCACTAGTCGTGGAACTGAGACCCGAAAATTTTTCTAGCCGATGCGTTGAAAACTATCAATATTGTGAACAAGTCAATACCGAGTTTGAAATGCATGCCTCATTGTTTTTACCATCTTCTATTGCAAATTTTCTTGAAGTAATGGGGCCACTTTCGTACACCGGACACATTATAAGGCTAGCCTCAATTTCTTGAGCTTCTCAAACCTTTCTTAAACTTTTCTTAAATATTCTCTTTAGAATGTTCTACTTTTCTTTTCCTTTGCTAGAGGTTATCTGCTCTCACATAACCCTCTTTTTCAAGACTGCTTATCCATCCCGTCGCACAAGGACAGTGGGTGAAGACGGACGGTACGATTTATGACGCTATTGAGATGATCTTAACTAACCCGCAGCGCAATGAGAGAACTGTTACACCAGTGACGTACTATAACGCTATCAAAAGAGAAGCAGCACTGCATTCCAGCTATCGTAAGCACTGCTTTTGAGCTTCGCACTAGTGACAGTTGAGTAACTATGTTCGTACCAAAGATCATGCCCCAAGAATATAGTGCCGGCAATGCACATGAAGTAGCAGCAACGGAGGCGGCAACCCAAATACGAGATTTGGCTTCATAATCACTTATATAGTAAGAGGCGACTAGCCGCTCCATTAGCATCGACGGAATTGCAATGGTAGATACCCCTTTGCCGAATATGTTCACAAAGCATAATACAAGAAATGCTGGTGTGAGTTGGGCGTTATCTGGAAGAAGGTTCATAAGTAGTAAAACATAAACGATAGACGCGTTTTTTCTGAAATTTTCAGATCATTCTGGTGATGCAGCAATATTGCCAACCGTAGTTAGAGCTCTACCAATTTCGGATACCACAAACATAAATCTGTGGCAGTGAAAGTGATAAAGTTCGGTTACATCAATGATGCGACCGTAATCCAAGCATAAAATAAAAGGATAAAGCATTTGCTGTTGTTCAATCCTTTTGGGACATTCTACTTTACGACTTTTGGCATTCTATTTCCATTTACACATTCATAGTGGCTTTATGAAACCGGCTGTTGGGATGGATAGTTGCAAAGGA